GGATGAGAATCGATGACGAAAGATTTTTCGTTCGTCGCGATGATCGAAAAGAACGCAAATGGAATCGAGAGGACACGTCACTTCGTTCGAAAGGGGAAACGGTACCTGTTCCAGTTACTTTGCTTTCCTCGACGAGATTTTTTCTTCTTTTTTCTTTTTGTTTTTGTCTTAATCTCGATGGCTGGGTTTTTAGAACGATTCTCGTTCTCCTCTCCCTCGCCCTCCAGCCGTGAATGATCTATCGATCTATCCGCGACCCGTTCTCCTTGCGCTTTAACCTATTACAACCGCCTCGGTCTCCGTTTGGTGACCAAGAAACGATATAAATTTTATGGTATTGATATTGATTTAGATCCGTCGGATTTAGACCCGAGAGAGAGTTCAGTCGAGTTCCCTTTACGAGAAGGAGAAATAAATAAAGTAAATGATCGTTACGCAACGCTGCTCTACTAAAATAATTGTAAATTGAGACTCGATATAATTGATGGTCTGTTATAGTTAATTAGAATTATGTGCTTCCATGCGTATCTATAATATTATGTCCAATTTACAAGCCAACTTACTCAAGAACATTCTTGAGAAAGTTGTCACGAGATTATGTACTTACATGTATATCTTGCAGTTATTTATTTCTCTTTGATTTATTATACAGGATGTTATTACAATATTATATATCATATATATATATATATTTCTTGGAATGTTTAGAAATAAAAAATAGAAAAATTGTTTTCAATTTACCAGTTATAAATTTTATATTTCGATTTTTATAAAATATTCCACAAATATATAAACGTCCTGTATAATTCTTGTCAAGCCTGATGAACGAAGTCTCGATGATTAAAAACTAATTGAATCTGTGTTCTTTTCCTTTTTTTTTTTTTTTGTTTATCTTTTTCAATATATATAATAATCGGCCTCCATCGTTCCCTCCAATCCTTTATTCTTTTTTATTACTCTCATTTCCCGGTCCCTGCAATTTACACCGGATCGCCTGGAGCAACAATTCCTCCAACGAAAACAGATATCACTCGAAGCTGTTTCGTCGGCGTAATAACAATAACCATAACCAGATATCACTGTTTCATGATCGTGTAACCGTGGATTACGATTGCAGACGGAGATTATTGCAAGCGCAGCATCGAGACCGCCGGTCTCCAGGTCTATGGAAGCGGATTCTACAACGGCGGAGTTTCGTTCACCACTACGAAAGCTGCTTTACCAACGATTTTTTCGATCCTACTCACAATTTTGATACTTTGTTAAGGAAGAAACAGTGTGGAACAGTGGGTAAAGCTTCCACGATCGAGATCGTTTAAGGATATTTTTTTCCGCCAAGAACGATCGATACTTTTATTACAGGAGCCAAAACCAGAAACCAAACAGAACACCAAAATATTATAGGATTCTTGTTAAATACTGTAAAATATAATAAATAGATCACGCGATTTTTAAGTGAAATATTCCTCGTTTAAAAGATATATTTATAATAATTGAGATCAATTCGATCATCAGACATAAGTAACAAATGCTTTTACCATGGAAAATTATATTTGCCAATCTATTTCTTCAAAAGTAAAAAAAAACAATTTTCTCTACATCAAAGCTTCGATAAATATTTCAGAATTTTTTGAAATTTTTCTCAAAATCTAAAAAGAAACGAGAAAGAATCAGAGTATAATTGGTCATAGAGGGATAAAACGAGGAATAACCGAAATAGTCGCCCTGTTACAATTGTTATTACTGTAAGTATCCATTATTAATTTAACCGCGATTCATAACATGGCAATAGTACGCGTGCAATTAAGCTGATGCGCGAGCATAAATCGTTTCAGCGTGTCGAAAGGGTCGCTCTCGCGTCGCATACGTTGAAAAGCGACACGGCCTCTCCGTTTAATAAAGGCAAAGAGATTTACATCCTTCGTCGTTAAAACGGTCCCGCTATGCCTTCGAGACAGATACGAGTTGATGCTATTTTTAGCTCCGAAAGCTCGAGCTTGACTCGACGTGTACACGTTTGGTTGTAAATACGTTTATCAGTCGGACGAGATGTCGAACACAATGAAATGATATTCGAAATAATCGAGAAACGCGATTGTTGTTGCGTTAGATTTCGAGAAAAAAATGGAATAATTTTGATTACTTAGAATATTATTTATAGATCCCGTATCTTCTTTCTCAAATCGCATAAAATTTTGTAATCCATTGAGTTACGTTTTCTCGAATCGTCTCGAATTTGATTTTAAAGTGCGAAGGCATTACTTTCAATCTTTTTCTTGCTCGTTGAAAATTGAAAGTAATATTAAAATAACACAATGTTATTATTTATGTACGCTATTTCTAGATTCTAGATCCTAGGTTCGATAATAAGTGTACGGATACTGGAGTCTCCACTGGGATATCGAAATGGATCGAATTAATAAGAAGAAATAAGCTCGTTCCCGTAATTGCGTTTGTAAGTTCGTAAACCACATTGAAGGCACTGTACGTAATTGGGAGATATGTTTCAATCTCAAACGAAAACAAGCCTTGGCCAACGATCACGTTACAATTATCGTTACAATTATTTTCAGTGAGTAAAAAAAGAATCTATATTCCGTTTACAGTGTTAGTACGTGCGTTTTATATCGATCGTCGAATGAATCGTTAACCCTTGTGTGAGATCTTTCTCTTTTTCATCTGATAATTTTGAAAGATCGATCCAAAATGTTTAGAAGTTTGATAGAATTTTATTAGTGAAAAATTATGGAAGTTTTGGGTATCGACGTAAGGGTTAAGTTAGCGAGTTATTTTTACATAATATTCATAAAGAGAGAGTAAATAATAATAAGAGAGAATGTAAACACAAAACCATTAAAATAAGCTTTAAATAAATTTTTAGCACCGAGTTATTTACAGATTCATAAGGGATGTTGCAAGCCGAACAAGTTCGAAATATCACGCACGAAGAAAGAAAGAGATACTTTCGATACTTTTTTTTTTTTTTTTTTTTTTTTTTTTT